AGTTATTTCTGTATTCCAGATATGAGTCTTAAGTGTTATGTTTAGGAAATTGTATCTTCTATTTTGTGGCTTATGTTTTTACTCTTAGTGATGTTTTTGATTAAAAGATTAATTTTAATTTTCTCCAATGCATTATGTATTTTCCTTTATGATTAACATATTGCTTCCAGTTTATGAAATCTTTGCTTATCACATAGGTATAAAGATATTTTCCTGTCTCCTTTTGAAATCTTTGTCTTTCACTTTTGGATCTGCTGCTTATATTGAATTGGTATTTGTCTGAATTATAAGGAGGCAATCGATATTTATTTGATCCATGTGAATATTAAAATAACCCAGCACAATTTTACAAAGTAATCTTTTACCTACATGCTGCAACTATGTTACCTTTGACATAAATCAGGTTACAGGTTAGAAGATATGTATGAGTTCTGCTACTTGTTCTGTATTCAATGTCTTTGATTTATGTCTTTGATCTTTTTGTCCATTCTTATGCCAGTGTCAAACTGTCTTGGTTACAGTGGCTTTATAATATACCTTATATCTGCTAATGGTTATTTCAACAATACTGCTTTGGTTATTACTGGACTTTTGCATTCTAAATAATAGAATCATCTGATCAATTCCTGTAAAAAATTATCATTTTTTACATTTTGATTACATTCATTTCATTGACACATTAAGTATTGAATTTCATGAATCCATATAATTCTATGATTGTTTTTAGTTTACTCTTGTATACCTTCCATAATTGTAAATCTATATTGATAAGACATTTCGGTATATAATTTGCTATTCCTTTTTATTAGGTTGGGTTTTGAACTCTGCACTGTATTGGCCTCACAATCTGTACAGGAAAATATTCTCATTTCTGCTAGTTTCTAGGAGAATTTGCATAAAACTATTTTTCTCCCTTAAGATTTGGAGGAATTCCAATGATTTTGATTATTATTATTGGGTAGTTATTAGTTAAAGCAGTTAGAGAGTAGCTAGAATTTGATTGCTATAAAACATTAACTTTTTTATCTCCTGGAATATCCATTATCACCATACAAGTCGTTACATTAAGATGCCAAGAATGAACCACCAGCCTTTATTCAGAGAGGTAACATGCTTTGAGCAATTCCTTTAGAAGTCACTTTTGGAATTTCAGCTTTTATTCAATTATCAATTGACTTCTTAACATATTTTCAGAAGATAATTTATCTTATTCAGTTGCCATAAGATTATTACATTAAAGTGAGCTTGGACAGTGCACAGTTTTATGTAATGAATGTGGTTAACGTCATCTCAAACCCATGAAGAATTCCTTGAAGATAATGAGGACACTGACTTCCTGAAACGTGTGACTTTTGACAAACCAGAGTCTTCTCGTACTCCTTCTTTCATTCCGAACCACTGCCTTCTCCCTCCCTTCTTCACTGGAGGACTTTCCAAGAGTTACCTCCATATAAAGGCTCCCTTTTTCTACATTCAGCAAAATCTGGTTAACATTCCTGTCACTAATGAAATGATTGGTTGTCAGAGTCCCCAAAACCATGCCATTAACTAAAGGTTATACTCTATCCTCAACTTATGTGTCTCACTTGAATTTGGTGTGTTGGGCACACCTGTATTCTTGAAACAAGGTTCATCATTGAATTCTAAGACAACATGTACATCCTGGTTTTTTTGTTTGCTTCTTCCCATTTACTATTTGTTGTTGTTGTTCTTATTCTTAACCAGCTCATCTTTACGCATGACTTTGGTGAGTTCAAAGTTCAACTTCTTAAAGTGTGTGCCTTCACTTCTCAGTGTTGTCATTTAAATGTATCTCCACAAATACACTGTATTTTTTTGAATGCCTTATTCATAGGTTGGTTCCTCTGTAACATTCCCATTTAGAGGCCTCAAATTCAATACTTTTAAAAATTGCTCCACCACTTCCTCCCAGAACAGCTTCTAAGAGGTGAAAGGTTATGCCATCTTTCTAGACTTGGAGACACTTTTCTTTACCATTATTTAAACACCAAGATAACATTAATTTATTAGAAGCACTAATTGGTAATCTCCCCCACTGCAGCTAGAATGAGTTTTTTCTTGAAACTTAAATCTGATTATGTCGTGCCATTGCTTGAAAGTTATCTGTTTCATGTTGGTCTACACCAATGTGAGGCAAGCTATTATACTCAGGGACATCATCAGTGTTCAATATACTTGTTAAGTGATGTTACAAGGTAACAAAACAGAATTAAAAATTTGTTTTATCACCTACACATAAATATCTTTTCCTTTGACTCGTAGGAAAGAACTTCTCCAAATATAAGGGATTGCTTAGTTTAAAATTTGGTAATTGACATAGCCTGAGATTATAAGAAATATCACATAAAATCAGCTTTCTACTTAATACAAGAAATTACCATCCAGGTCAGACCACACTAATCTACTGGCTCAGCCTTCTTCCTAATAGCACAGAAAAGGCACAGAAAGAAAACTTTTCTATGAATTAGTCTGTTACATGTGATTCCTGAGTATCTGTGACAGCTAAGATAAGATATCACATAGGGAAGAAGGGGAATGAAGGACTCTGCTAACTGTGAGTTATGGCAGAATATGGAAAATGCCAGAAAGACTTTTCTGTGGGTTAATGTATCATTCAGGAACCATTTGTTAGAAACTTAATCCTTGAAGTAATAAATTAATAGGATTTGGGAGTGAACTTTAAATGGTAATTAGGACTACATGAGGTTATGATGATGTACCTCCTGAGGGCAATAAGGGTTTGAGGAAGAGGAGGAAAAGGAAGAAGGGGGAGAGGAAGAGGAGGAGAAAAAAGGAATAGGAGGAAGAGGAAAAGGAAAGAGGAGAGAGGTCTGGGTTGGCATGCTTGCTCGTTCTGACAGGAGGGCCTCTGCAATGTTAAGCTGCAGCAAAAAGGCCTTCTCCAGAGCACAAGTCAACACTGGGCTTTTGGACTTCCATAACCATGAGATAAATAAATAATAAATTTCTTTATAAAGTTACAATTCTGTAGTATTCAGTGATAGCAACTGGAAATAGACCAAGACAGATATATAAGATGTGAGCAGATCAAAGAGAAGGTGAAATCTCAACCAGAGACTTCTAGAAGTTTTCAGGGACAGCAGAATCTATTTAGGTAGAAACTTAGAGAAAACACATTCCAAGTGACAAGGATTATCAGAATGAGGATTAATCTGGCATGATGTAATTAGCACCACTGCCATGACTGGTAAGAGATCATGAAGGCTCACCTTGGGAGTAGTCATCTGGACTGAAGTAGATAAGGGAAGAAACATAGAAACATAGCAACAGTGAGTTTACTAGATGGTTGAAAGGTGAGGAGGGAAACCACAAGGAATAAAAATAGGATGCTTGGGAAGCTCCTAGTCCAGAAGACACCCATGCTAATGAAAATAGGAAGTTTGAAGAACATAATATGGGAGTAAAATTCCTGTAGACAGAAATAGAAGTGACATACAGTTTCTCTGCTGTGGTGGTGTAGATACCTCTAAGACAGGGGGACATGGCTAGAAATGGGCATATGAAGTTTGAGATGAGAACAAAGAAAACTTGGCAATACTTTGACATTCTTGGTTATTTTTAATTGTCTTACTATAAATCTAACCCACAAATTTTATCTAAAGCATTCTAGAACCTTGCAGAAGTTTCCAATAATGCTAATCCTCTCCTTGCCCCTACTTATCTGTAGTTTTACTTTTTGTGGGTTTCAATTAGCCTCAGTGAGTCAAGGTTTGAAATTATTACATGGAAAATGCCAGGAAGAAAAAAAGAAAAAAAATCCACAGGTTTTAAGTTTCACACCATTCTAAATATAATGACAAAATCTTGTGCCGTTGAGCCCCATGTTGCACAGGCTGTGAGTCTTCCTGTTGTTCAGCGTTTCCGAGCTGTATACGTGGCCTGCCCATAAGTCCTGTAGAAGCCATCTCAGTTATCACAACACCTGTCACAGTATTGCTGTGTTTGTCTACAAGTAAGCCTCATTTTTTCTCAGTACTGACCCCAAAGAAAAAGTGCAGTAATGGGAATTCAAATATGCCAAAGAGAAGTCAAAGTGTGATCTTTAATTGAAAAGTAAATGTCCCTAATAAGAAAAAAAAAAATCTAATAGCTAAAATCTGGGTTAAGAATGGTTCTTCAATACATGAAATTTTGGAAGAATGAAAAATCCATGCTAGTTTTGCTGTTGCACCTCAAACTGCAAAAGTTAGGGCCACCATACTTGCTGAGTTAAGGTGGAAAAGGCTTTAAATTACAAGATTTGGTGCTATCCAAGGTTTCAGGTGTCACCTGGGGTCTTTAGACAGTTTCTCCTGAGGATGGGGGGTGCCTGTTATACTTGCACAATCTTAACATTTCACTTAAAACTAACATTAATTTTTAACATGCAGTGTTTATTTAATGAATTAACAAGTGTTTTCCATATACAGTTTATTAAAGGCCGAACTGGCCTTGCTCTAGCATTCCAGCTGGTGTTTGTGTCCTGAACTCAATGCTGTGAATTCCAGTCAGGCTACAGAGGAAAGAAGTCTAATGATGTCTTCTGTAGGGAAAATTATTTCATTTTGTAATTCTACAGCAAAAGAACAACAATAAAGTATCGCTTCCACTTTTAAATAAATAAGGGGTTATTTTGCTCCTGAAGTTTTCATTCAAATGACTGATCAGATCTCACATGTCTGCTTAAAAATGTCTGCCTTAGGTCGTTACAAAATGACAGACTATGATAAACTGGATGATAGGAGCAAGACAATGAGGCATTGTTTACACAGAAGACTGAATAACTAGTTTAACAAAAGAGGTTCTTGGGTATCTATTGTATATACAACTATGAGATTTACTGGAGCTTTTATAATTTCTGCAAAGCTCTTTTCCAGCCAGCTTCATTAACTTGAAGTAAATCAAATCATGCAGAAATCTGGTTCAGCCAGAAAGAAACCCAAGAAGATACAATATGAAGAAAAACAGACACAAGACGATAAGGTTTAGAATCTTTGGCATTTTTCAGAAACATTTTGTTTGAAGATAATTAAATTACAACCCAGAGACAAAAAAAAACATAGTAACTATTAGATCATTTTTACCTTAATTTTTTATAATACATATACATATATAAAACTGCACATACAAAGTATGTGTCAATGAAATTCAGTCTGTAATGCTTAAATATTTGAACAGAAGGATATTTGCATATATTTTATATAGGCACAAATCAAAATTTTTACATGATGGGAGAGTATTGTGGAATTGGGTGTACAGGTGTGTGGTATTTCTCTAAGAATTTGGTCCTAAAATAGTTTTTTATTGTATATAGATAATTTGGGGCCTGGAGATAATAAAGTACTTTGGTTATCCAAATTTATATTTTAATTTTCTGCTCAAAATATTTGGGCAAATGAAATGATTATGATAGTTAGGCAAGTAGCCCCACTTATTAGTTTCTTCTACTTTTAACTATGCAGAATGAATCCATTCTTCTCCCAACCTGTTCTCTGAATATATGTCCTGACATTTTGGAAATAAAGAATGAAGTCAGCAGAAACAGTATTTTAAAGCAACTAATTTTTTTTGTGAAGCTACCATTCTTTCAAAGAGGGATCCCTTGGGATATCCATCGCCAGCAATGGACCATGATATAGGTTGCACCCAGCACCAAAACATCACTAAAAATTCACATTTCCTTTGTGACCGCAGCTGAAAAACTTCTAAAGATTTGGGTTAACTCTTCTAATCATTAAAGAGTCTTTCTAGAATATACGTTCTCTGGACAGACCATAGCTACCAAAGACTTGTTAATTTGGAAGAAAGTTACTAGGACAATAATCTGAAAGGAGTGTGCATGGAGGTGGAGAACGGAAATGACTGCATCTTAATTAGAATCTGTAGGAGGTTTGAAAACAAGTTGAAAGTCACTCTTGAATCCGTGTGTCCTCCTGGTGGTTCTCAGGGAAGATAGTCATCCACATCCCATGGAAGTCTTGGTTCATTTCCTATTTGCGAATGGATGGGAGTCTTTCACAGTCTCAGGTCTGGTTCTTTGTGCTGGGCTGACAGTCAATGCGATGAGGAAACCTGTGTGGGGATGTTTGTGCAGTTGTTTGTGCATCTGTGCACAAGAAGAAGTGGGGGAGAATACAGAATGGGCTCCACACAGCATTTCAGGGCACCATGGGTGCCACTGCTATGACATTGGTCTAGTCAACCACACAGTACAGGGAGCTGGCGTTGAAAGTCAGTGTGGACCCAGAGTGGTGCGCTTCTTCCGAAGGGGGCTGTGGCTGCTGCAGAGTTTCAGTTCTGAGTACTGCACCTGTGAAAACAAACAGACGTGATGCTGGCAGCTCGGTAACCCTACCTCACCACAGAGTGTGTTAATGGCTCCCCAAGGACCAACCGAGGCAAGAGAAGGAAGGTTCAAAAGTAATGAATCATTTTCTAAACACAGGAACATGGAGGGATTAATTGCAGGAAGAATTTGAGAAGTCATGCATCATTTCTTGAAACCAAAACATTAAAAGCAGATTTTTCTAATGAGATGCATAGGTTTCTACCTGCTCCCGGTACTGCCAGTTGATCTTAGTTTTGCATGAGGCAGTTTTCCACCAAAAGGAAGCTTAATAAGTGCCTCTTGAGAATTTTTATCTTAGTGTGTAATATAGCAACTTAATGAGAATTATCCATTTAAAAATATCTAAAATCTTAGGCAAAATAAATGTCTCCAATTGGCTGAGATTTTTTTTCCCCTAAGAGAAAAAAAAAATGCTGACAGTGATACCGGGCCCCAGACTTATATAGATTTTTCTTGAACATTAATTTCATTTACAATGTAATGACTAAAACATCTGTGATAAATGTGAGTGCCAGGGAGTCCCTGGTGGTACACTATCATTGTGTTATTCGAAAGCACCCTTGGCAGGAATGAGGATCTTGCTAGCAAAATGCAGATCTTCCTTAAATGCTCTTTTGTTGTATTTCTCTGTATTCGTGCCAACTCCAACTGGATGGCCACTCTGAGTGCTGGGGGCTGGACTGTGCACAGATGGGCCTTGGGAGGGTTGATGGAAATTTCTATTCTTCAAGGATACGGCATGAACTCACTCTGCGACCCAAGTGATGGTACACTGCAAACATATTGCTTTGCTATATGTGCTTTGATAGGTTGGCAGTGGAAGGCCTTCGTTTAAGCTGTTGTATTACAGACCTCATGTGCTCACTACTTTTAGCATTTGTGCCATATCCCCAAGGACATTATGCCCAATCTCAAGTTAGTGGGAACTTTGGCAAAAGCAGATAATTGAAAAGGCAAGAAAAGACTCTTTCCTTCTAGTGTTTTGTGAAGGTCCCCTAGGGGAAGAGAAGACAGCGTACTTGCTATTCTTCAGTCAAAAAAGAGGCCAGGTTATATTTTAATTACATAATGCAAATATCAAGGAGTAAATTCCTCTTTATGGAATATACTTTAATTGTTAATTATATCATAAAATGAAGGTTAAAGAAAAACAGCATCCTAAAATTCATTTTAATCTCTAGAACTTGGAATGAAGGGAAAAGGAAATCTAAGACTGTGGAGTCCCATGTCTTTGCAATTCGCCTAGAGATGTCAGGGAACCAATTATGTTACAGTGGCCCAATGATGAAAATCGATACTTGGTTTGGGAGTCTCTTAGGTAATAAAGGATTATGCCTTTGATCATCTTGATATTTCATACCAGTCTCCCCATCTACCTATTCAGTAATCTCTGTTCTTTATCAGAGAAATCACTGCCTGCCCTCCTTCCTCTGGATTTATAGCAGCCTAATCTGCAGGGGCCCAAATTTGGCTATTCTTTGGGACTCTCTGCTATTGTTGGCTTCATTAATCTCTGTGTATCCACAGAAACAAGACTCTGCTGGACTAAGTGACCATTACCTGTGAATAATACTTGTGATTGATCTCAAATTATTTCACGCCATCTCTTCCTCTACGTGCATTAGAGTAAGTGGGGGATTTGGCCTCAGCATCCCTAAGTCTTTAGAGGAAAGGGAATAGAAGGGAGACCCAGGAGATAATGGGGCAAACAAGAATAAAAAGAATAATCCTCTTGTTCCCCACCCACTTCCCCTAAAATGTCTGCCATCTGGAAGAGGAGGAAAATAAGCATCAGTCCTCAGCTTTGGATCTCAAGCAATTCTACTCACTGAGCCCATCTTATCCTCTTTAGGAAAGAAAGCAATCAAAAAGGGACAAACAGTAGCACACTGGAGCCACACAGTGTGAGTTCCAGATCATTCTTAAGTAGCTCTTTTTCAGGATAATTTTCCCCAATCATCTCATGCTTGTGACAAAGCTTTTTGCCACCTCCCTGCAAGCCAGGGCACTCTAGGGATTTTCTGATTCCTTATCTCAATTATTCACACAAGCACAGCCTTGTGCTCCTCCAGCTCTGGGGCTGGCCAGACCTCAAGGCTGGGGCCCTTGTTGGTGGTGACCATTCATTACCTACCTTTTGAACATCCGATGGTACCCTGGAGAGGAAGTCTAGTAGCTCATTATTGTCGATGGAATAGGGATTTCGGAGCTTCTTAGTAAATTTATTTATGCCTGCAAAATAGAAACACCAGAGATGGCTTTATATCCATCTATCTACCTATCTAAAAACTTGCCTGACTTGGGGAGGGGGAGTTTTCGCAAGTAAAAATTAGTGTGAAAACAATTACTAGACTGACTTCAAGTCATGCACATGTTGCTGTCATGTGGAATCATTCACAAATGCCTCTTCCTGAAGGAAGGAGGGTGAACTGTGGAAAAGAGGCTCTGCCTTCCTCAGCTGTGAAAATCCCATTACAATCCCAGCAGCAGGGCAGCAGAAACACATGCTCAAACTAGGGAGATCATTGACTTTTTTGGAATACACTGATTAACAGCCTCCTCTGCTATGAAAACAAATGTCCCAGATGGGAAAAGGCCTTCATTAGCCCAGACAAGTCCCTGCTTGGAGGCTTTCAACCCAGTGTAGCTGTGGGAGATGGGGGTGGGGGGTGGGGGTGGGGTCTGTCGGTAGAAACGGCAGATCTTTTCCCCCCACCTCCAACTCATTTTCACAGGATCCTCAGCTCTCCCTGCAAAACAGAACTTGACATGTTGATTTTGCTCTGATGCTGCAGGAAACTGTGAAAAGTTATTACTGGAAAATTATATATGGACCACAACGCCGACATGTGGGTTTGCCTGGGCAAGGGAGTACATACTAATTTAAGATGGGGATAGTGGTAATTAGAATAGGACTCAACATTTAAGAGGTCCATGCACTGCAGAGATCCACCTGTGGTGGCCGCGCGTTGGGTTCCTGGGTTGGCCCAGGATGTACTTGCCCATGGGGCATGCTCAGAGGAGAGCACCGCCCTAACCTTTTGTCTTCTCTCCTCCTTGGAGTGACTTCGCCTGTATCCAGAGCTCATAAGCTGTAGTCTTTTCACCAAATGTCAACTTTTTTTTTCACATCGCGTTTTAGAAGTGGAAAGAGTAGGTGGCCTTCTGAAGTTTTGCCACAGGGAGCTTGTTTAACAAGGATCCTATCTGAAGACCTGTCGGTCCCAATGAGGCTGAATGAATTCTCAGCTTAGTGGTGCTCTGAACGGTTCCTACTCAGAAGCCAAGTTCAACAGTCCCCAACACATAAAAGGTTTGATGTTTTTCTTTGTTCGTTAAATATTACTTTGCTTTCATCTAAGGACTGGACTTCCTGCATGGCATTGTACCTGACACAATGCCAACCTCCAGTCCTTTCTTTGGGGGGTCAGATTTACATCTGCTTTGCAAATGGGAGCCAGCCATTGTTCATGAGTAAATGGGGGCTTGGTGGTTGTGCTGAGGAAGGGTCCCAGCAAATGATCTCCTTTGCAGTAAGTCAAAGCTGCACTCTGCCTTTCTTCCCTCTACCCCCACAGCAAGCTTCATATCTCTAACTAAAATTCCCCCCAGCATTCCTTTAAACTAAAATACTCACTGTGTTATTCTAAAGACATTTAATTGTAGCATGGGCTTTTTGGCAAAAGAAAACAGACAAGGCAAAATGATGAAGGGAGACAAAGATGTATTGAGAAAAGATATATCTTCTATTGTTAATTATATATAGTGTGCGCATCTGGAGCCTTTACAATGAACAGCAAGGCAGGGATAATATCACAGCCGATCAAAACACTGCATTCTTAGTCACTGAGAAGATTATAAACCTGCACAGTAGCTCAAATGCACCAATAAAGGCAGAAGTAGACCACAATGCACTGAGACTATGTTTGAAAAAGTTAAAAATTACTAAGCTTTCAAGATCGCATGCTTCAAAAGTATACCTCATTTTTAAAGGTATCTCAGTCTTGAATATTTCAATAATCCCATTGTACTCTCTATTGTGGGATCGAAGGTCGACAGAAGATCATAGATGTCTTGGTCATCTTTAAGAGGCAATGGGGCGACGTAACACAGGTTATGGTGCAGAGATACCTGGGCTGCAGTGCCAGCTTCATAAGGTATTGCCTGTGTGATTTCAGGCAAAGCAGTTCATCTTTCTAGGGCTTAGATTTCTTACAATGAAATTTTAATAATAAAGATCTGCCCTATATAGTTTCTAGGGTTAATAGGAGAATCACATTAATAATATAGGCAAAAGGGTTCTGTTATCCCACAATCATGTAGGGGCCTACAACCATCATTGCTGTAGAGGTCAGTAACTGAGAAAGACAAAGGAAATGGGGATGAAAAAGTCTTTGTAGCATCATGCCCACATGCCCAAATTGGAAGCTGTGGTTTTATCCAGTAAAACATTAGACATAAATGTTTCTCTTAAAACAACACAGATAGAGGGATATATCTGCTATAAATTTCATTAGGCTAGGGGAGTGACGAAATGAGAGCTAAATCAAGGGATAGGATTTGATGAAGACACTATTATTAAATGGTCCCAGGCCACAGATTGACTGGATCAGTGGAGTGGAATGAGCCTTCCATGAGAAAAAATAAAAAATCACTTGGAGAAAGAAGAGATGGGAAACTGCATGCCAGCTTTACATATTTGTTAACTTGAGAATAACCACCTGAAACAAAATAGCACTATTTTTCAGGTATTTGTCACAAACAGGCACTCCTGGTGCAACACTGGCAGGGCTGGAGCAGAGACACTTCCTTGTTCATGTGTCAAACCTTGAGTGCCTTCCATGTGAGACATACAATGCTATCAAATGGAGATACAAATTTAGATAAGTCCTGAGTCCTCCTTGCAAAACACTCAACAATTTAATTTGCTTGGAAAATTCATATATACTTGTAAAAAGCAATGAGGCTGGGACCAGAACTGGGAAATTGTATGATGAAGAACAGAATAGAAAGGATATGAGGAAATTCACAGCAGAAACAGAAAATATCCTTGAGGTCGTATCTTAAGAAATGCTCACATCAAACAGGTGACTATATTCCAGTAGATAATACACCCTGAAAAAAAACTTCAGATGTCCCCCCAAAATTTCATCTACACAGATTCCTGGTACTGAATTCAAGCCTCAGTCATAGAATAGCTTTCAACTGCTAATTAAAGATCTCTTATCTTTATGAAGCTGTATAGGAATTATAGGAAGAAACAAAGTATCGCATCAAATCTTTACAATTAATTGGGTGAGTCCAGCAATATTTCCCATAGTCATTATAAAATAAGACACTTATGCTTACATCACATAATTTTAACATTTAAAACACTTATACAAAATATTGTATGTATAGAATATAGAAATATATATAGTTGAGTGTTTTTAATTCTTTAGAAAAAAAGTTTGTCTTTGTAGGACTCAGGAAAAATGAGTAATCGAGTAAGAAAGTCTTTTGAAATTTAAAGTTAAAAGGAACACTAGAAGTTGAAGATATAAATTTACATTTTTATGTGAGGAAGTTTTTGCAGGGGATAAAAGCATATAAAACACATGTAAAAGAATGGACTAGACCTACAATAGCTAATGACCTATTGAAAAGTATAAGTCACGAAAGAGTTGTGGAATATTTCCCTGGCTTGAACAGCAGGTTTTGCATGATGAGAAGCAGCAATCGATCATATGTTGTTTGTCAAGACTGTTGAGGACATTATTTCCAGTAAACTCATCAATAAGCTATAAACACCTGTCTAGAATGCAAAACCAAAGTGTAAAGAGTTACTCTCTGCCCATGAAAGCATAAACTCCATGCTGCTTAATAATTTCATCCATAAACTGAAAAATAGAGAAATGTTTCAGTAAGTAGATGCCAACAGTTTCTGGAAAGCTGCCCATATCTTAGAGGATAAGATCAGAACTCAAAGTGATTTGGGTAAACAAAAAAGCTTTTGCATTCCAAAATTAACAAAGGAGGAAATATGGTACAGTGGGGCATCTATATCTATGGGTACCACATTCTCAGAGTTTACCAAACGAAGACATTTGGAAAAAAATATTGAACACATAGGCTTTTTTCTTGTCATTTTTTATGAAACACTACAGTATAACAGCTACTAACACTGCATCAGAGTATTGTAAGTAATCTTGGGATGATTTGAAATACAGGGATAGTTGTGCATAGGTAATGTACAAATACTGTGCCATTGTTTCTGAGACTTGCGCAACCTCAGGGTGTCCTGGACCCAGTCTCCTGAGAAAACTGAGAGACAACTGTATTAGCCTTCCTTGTGGTGGGAAGGATTCAAGAAACAAATCAAGTGTGCATCCGGGTTTAATGGCTAACCACAACATTCCACTGACAGGAACTTAAAAATGAACAAAACATAAGAGAAAAGATTTTGATTCATATCTGGTTAGGAGCAGACAGCAAATTTAAGATCTAAATTCTAAATGTGAATAGTAATTGGATTTAGAAACTAATATTTATGAAACAGTTGGAAGCAATGATTATCCAATCTATACAGAAAACATGCAAGATATAAAGGATTCAGGGAAATACTTTTGAAAAATCCACCTTCTCAATCAATATGCCCTTATAAAGGCCCTTACTCTTTCCTAAGGCTTAAAGTGCAAGCATTGTTGCCAACTAAATAAACCACACCGACAGTTCTAAGCACGGATAGGAGGAGACTTTAACCAAATATTAAATCAGACCCTCGATGAGTTTAGCATATGTTTTTTTCTTAAGATTTTCATCTTCTAAATATCACAGAGAATGAATTATACTCTCAAAACCTTCCAGGTTTTGTATTTTTATGAGTCATTCTAATTTCATCATGGCTCTTTCCATTCCTGAGTGCCCATCTTTGGCTTTCCTTATCAAAGGGGTTCTACCCTTGTGGCTCCTCTTAATAATTCTAGAAAGACTGTAGATTTTATCAAGCATCTAGGGCCTCTCCACTACACATTATATATATATTCAGCGAAACCTCTCATCTTTATGAGTTCCCCGAACATTTTGAAGAGCCTTAAAAGCAATAGTGGAGAGAGAATTTAGCAGTTCTAGGAGAAAAACTGCCCATGTATCCAACAATGAAATTTCTGCAGTGCACTCTCCTTATATCAGTATAGAGCCCACCCAGAAACAGACACAAATATTCACAAAGCTGCTTATATTTTGCCCAATTCCTAGCTTAAGTAGTAAATCAAGTCATTAAATTTATTTCAAGTTTGCCATTTTTGTTTGTCTTTTTTTATAGCTAAACTTAATACAGGTACCCCATTTCCTCTGGTAAATAACAGCTTCCTCCTCTCTCCAACCTTGGGTAGGTAGTCACAGGCTGAACCCCAGCCCGTCTTTCCCCCACCCCACTGCTTCTGGATTGAAGAATGTCATTAAGTTACTTTTTCCTGCAGGAAAGATGAAGTGTCAGGAGGAACCTGGTAGTGGCCAGATCTTTTAGATTTTATAAAGGGCAAGATGCAGGTGTTTTGCTCAACATTTGAAGTTCAATGTTTCTGGAAAATCACAGGGCCACAGTCATGTATTATTGAAGGGAATTTATAGCTGGGAAGGCCCAGAGAGAAATTTCATGTACAGTCACATTTTTATTTGATTACAATTAAGCAAGAACCCTATAAATATCCACACTGATCGTTCAAGCCACAGGTCAGTTCAGGGAGGTCCTAGAAGTTTCTGTTCCCCAAATACTATCCTTAATCTCAGGTTTAATTGCCAACAAGAGCACGTTGAAAGTTTACAGTCACACTTTAAAAATGAGTACTTGGTTCTTACCTGGAATTGATGGCTAGCAAAAGGGCCACGTCAAACTTACCCCAGATTAAAATGATGTACCGCAGCGGAATCACGTACAAAATGATGGTAGCCATGGCCAGCACCAAACAGGCCAGCACAGAAAGAAAAGGGACTGTCCAGTTAAAGGTGCTGTGAACAAAGACACAACTGTCATTTCCCCTGGGGCTCAGCCACCGCCATAGTGTCATGGCTGGGGTATTTCAGGTTCATGGTTGTATTAATAAAGAATGTCTACTAAAAAGTTTCTTTAAACACCTGGAGAGAATGTACGTTGGATTTATGCATTGAAATATCACACTGTCAGTGGTAAATATACGTATATCATTGTGTGTTACTTACATAAAACTTGAGGAGAAAAGCCTGCTAAACTGAGTACTTGAAAAACACGATGCTGTCACAAGGGAGTGGTTGGATTCATTGCCTGTTTTCACTTGTGTGAAAACGGAGACTAGAATATGGCATGTGCAATAGAATGTACTAGAAATCCAGGTCCTAATGGGGATTCATGTGTACTGGAGTACTTCTCAATGGTCTTCATCCTCAGAGACAGATTTGCCTGTTGATCCTTTGCTTTATACTATGAATACAAAGGAATTTCTTTTTCTGCTTTTCTTTGGTGGAGGGAGACATTGGGTAATTTTGAGAAGTAGCACGTTATAATCATTATTTTTAATTGTCTCTATAAAGAATATATGTCAGATATAATAAAACTAAAATAAGTTTAAAATATTGAACACTGTACTTTTTACATTTTTTTAACAGCGGAAACATAATTAGTCAGAGATCCTGGATACAAATCCACTAAAACCATCCTTTTCTCACCTTGGAAGACTACTAACCTAGTGGCTTTCAATTTAAAAATGAATTATATCCAAATATTCATTAATCTTAAACACAACCATAAGCAATGTGTTCAACTTCTCTGTGCTTTACACTTCCCATCTTTAGAATGGGAATAACAATTATATCTACCTTATTGAGATACTGAGGGGTTTCAATGAGTTAATAATTACAAAGCATTTAAAACAATATGTGGGACAGCGTCATTATTCAGTAAGTATTGGCTGCCCTCATTTTTTTTTCATTGTTATTGTATAAAGATGTCATAAATATGAAAAGAAAGCAAATTATATCTGGTAGCATTTGGAAGATAATAAAAGCAACAAACATGCCTGAAATTATATTTTTGAAATAAATACACATTATAATTCCCTTTCTAGCAATACTACTACACTTTCTTTAAAAACTAAAATGCTAAGCCAAGTGCTGCACACCTGCAATCCCAAATCCTCGGGAAGCTGAGGCCAGCCTAGACAACTTAGACTTTCAAAATAAAACTTTTCAAAGGGTTGTGAATGTGGCTCACTGGTCGATTGCTTGACTATCATGCACAAGGCCCTGGGTTTAATCCAGTGCCACAAAAACAAATCAAAAGTAGATCTAGGTAAACTTTAAAACTTGTTTTAAAGAAAGAAACATGTCATCAGTAGGCTAACATAAAAAGAAAATGAATTGTAAAAACTCTGCTCTGAGGTAACAAATCTCTGAAGTCAATTGTCACTCCAAAAGCTCTTACTTAATATCGGGATTTTGAGATTTTTTTCTGTTACCTGCATAAAGGACAAAGGAAAAAGTGCGAAATTTCTCCAAGAGAAAAGTCTAATAGGAAATCATTGCATAAAATTTCTATATTCAGGCTAAGGATGGGGCAGGGGGAGAACAGAAGAGTGGAAATTCTACATATAAATGGACCATGCCTGTCATGATAATGCCAGACGACTTACCATTGGAGGTTATGGTCCCTGTAAAGAGAAAAGCTTCAAGTAAAATATTTAAGAAAGAAAGAAAAAGGACTGCATGTTGGCCATTGCCCAAGTGAGTCGGGCAATGATCCTCTCTAAGAATATGTACTATTAACCCAGATGTATTTGTAGTCCTTACATAATAATTCAAGGAATATCAGTTCTGAGTTACAAACACAAACCACCAAAGGATGCCTGGCACTACGAGGAAGAGCCAGCAGACAGAAAACCCTGAAGTCAGACTTCAACTTTTAAATCTAATCCAATAGGTTAAATAATAATGTTTAATACATAGAAGTCATGAAATAGAGTGAAAAGTAAAAAATATGACGAAGAAAAAGACAGAAATGTCCAAGATTTGAAAACAAAGCAAGCACAAGTTTGAAAAATGAAGACTACAATTGAAGTTAGAAATCCAATGAATGAACTAGACAACTTTAAATAGCATAGGAACTAACATTGTGCAAGATCATCCAGAGAAAAATATTAGAAGGTGTCACATCAGAAAGTGCATAAAGATGGAAGTTAGAGACATGAGATGGAAGGTAAGTCACATGGGACACAGATGAAAAACTGAGAAGGTTCCTGCATTAACTGAGAAGACAGACAACTCATATTAGATTATGTAAATCATGATATAACTCTAGGATGACAACAGTAGCAAAAGAGTGTTTTAATCCCTAGAAAACAGAGGAAAATATAAAAATAAGAAAGAAGCGGCAAGGACAAAAGACTTAAAAATTAATTATGTATCTATTACTAAGCATATTAAATTTGAATAGACCACATGCTACATAGAAAATGATGATTGTCAGAAATAAGAAAGATATCTGAAAAGGCAGATAAGGAGAAAGAAAAATATAGAAAAGGGTATATCAGGAAAAACTAACAAAGGAGAAGTAGTGCAGCTATACTAATACTAATCAACAAGATAGGCAAAACTTTATTAGCAGTATATACGTTACTTTATATTAGTAAATTAATTCAAGAAAACTATCATGCAAAGAAAAGTTAGCTTCAAAAATAAAAATCTACCAAAATCTCCAGGAGAAATAGACATTCACAGTCATAGCTGAAAGTTTTAACATGTTTCTAAATAACTGACAGAAAAAGGTAAACAAAATTAGTACAAATTTAAAAAGTATGAACACAGTAAATCAAATCTTACATATATAGTACAATGCACCTAATTAACTATCTACCTTCCAAGCACTTATGGTAAATTCACAAAAGTAGACCATTTTTGAGTCAACATTTTCTGAACATAACAAGGATTTAAGTTGGAAAGTAGAAACAAAAAAGATACCCAGAAAATCTCCAAAGTCTTCTGGAAATAAACCAATACATGTCTGGCCCAAGAAAGAAATCAAAATAGAAATTAGAAGACAGCTTTCAATATGAAAGATAATGAAATTATTACATGCCAAAATGTTTGAAATGAAGGTAAAGCTATGTTTACAGGAAACTGTAGAACTTTAAATCTTTAGGAAAGAAGACTAGAAATAAGTGGATCTAATCATCCATTTTAAGAAGTAAAAAAAGAATAATGAATTAAGCCCACAGAAAGTAATAAAGAACAGTAGTGAAAAAGAAAACAGGGAACAGAAGAATAGTGAAGGTAAATGTTGCTTCCTTCTAAATACTAATATAATTTATAAATCTCTGTCAAGAAAAAAAGGGGAAAAAAGTATCAAGCATAAGAGTGGACAATGCAGGCTGGGGATTTAGCTCAGTGGTTCTGCCAACTGCCTCGAAAGCAGAAGGATCCGAGTTCGATCCCCAGTACCAAAAAAAGAAAAAAAAAAAGTGGATAATGCTACTGATTATACTGTTATACCAAAGCATAGAAAGTTTAAATAAATTGAACAAACTCCTGGAAAATTACAGATTACAGAAACAGATGAGATAAAGTAGAATGACTACTTATCTATCATAAACTGAATACATATTTAACTAAAACTTCAAAAAGAAAACTGTGAGATGGAAATCTCATCAGCAAATTTTATCAGATCTTGAAGCAATGAAACTAGGCTTAAACAGTTACTTATAGAAAATAGAGAATATACCACAGCTTGTTTTATGAGTTTAGAAGAATTTTCTATCCATGAGGAATTTTTTTTCCTTAAATTCTTTTATTGGTACATTTTAGGTATACAGTCTGTTTACATTTATCATTGGGCGCTTGTACCTGTACATGATGTATCTTGGTTCATAACTTTTCCCCATTACCTGTGCGCCCTTCACCCCCCTACCCTTTCCTATTTATATAGACTTCGTTTCCATTGTTTTTCTTTTCTCATATTTTTTTTCCTTTCCCTGCTTTCCTTTCCCCTTCCCCTCCCACCACCCCTACCCCTTTGGACCTTTTCTTCCTATTTCAAATTATCAATTATTCATTTTAATCATTTTAATCCATGAGGAATTTTTAAGAGCAGAAAATTATAAGTCAGCCTTACTAATGATCAAAAAGCAAAAAACCCAAAACCTTAGTTAAAAAAAGAATTGTGTAATAGAAAAATTTGGATTTATTCTAAGAATGTAAGCTCAGTTCAACACTGTAAAATCAATCAATAATTTACCACTTTAAGAGAAAAAGTACTTAAGATTAGCGCTGTGTCTGCAGCAAATACATTTGACACAGCCACTCACATTCATGGTAACCCTGAGAAAACTAGGAATAAAAGGGAACTTACTTAATCTTATAAAGGACCTTCACCAAAACCTGTAGCAAACTTCATTCTCATAGGTGAGGTGTTTAAAGCTTTCTCTTTCTGATGCTACAGGAGAAAAAATTCCCAAGCATACCAAGTGTGTCTGACATCATCCTAGTGCTATCTAATACAGGAAGGCACAAAAACAAAGCAAAATGTGTAAGAACTGGAAAAGCAGAAAATTAATCTCAAATGACACATTAACCTAATAGAAAATCCAAAGTAACCTTCACATAATGGCAACTAACCTTACTGACGTTAGTAGATACAAAGTCAATGTAGACAAATTGTCTACCCTCCAATAACAAACACAAAAAATAAAATCTGAAAAAAATGTTAAAATAATCAGGAGTCTGTCTTACAAAAAGTATTCGATTTTTATATAGAAAAGTCTAAAATAAAATGGAGTTAGAAAATAACCAAACATGATGAAGAAATCAAGTTCATATATTGGAAAGTTCAAAATCTATCAAAACGGCCATTCTCTCCCAATTGATGCAATCATGATAAAGGTCCTACTAGGTGTGTGTGTGTGCGCACACAGACGTGCAAGTGTAAGGTGTGTCTTGTGCATTTGTGTTGGAGGTTAGAAGCAGATGGGCCTCAGACTCACTCTAAGTCTTTCCTATTTTCCATCCCAACAGCCAACTCAGTGGTCTAGTGAATTCCTTCTAAGCCCTCCCAATCTTACTGTTGAAATGACTTCACTTGGTTGAAGACAAAGAAGAAGAAATGCAATTTGTCAAAAACAGTACTCAGTATGTTAAGGGATTATTATATGCCAGGACCTGGTTTATATGTACTCTTTCACTTAATTCTTCTAAAAGTGTTAAATAGTAGGAGATGTTATTGTCATTCCCATGCTACAGATGAGTCTGATTCACGACAGTCAATTCAGTTGCCCAAGATTACTCACTAGCATGTGACAGAACTAAAAATTTTTCCTCAAAAGCCTCTCTTCACTGCTTTTACCCTAAGTATTTAGAAGGTACAAGAAGGCACATGTTACTTATTCAGTCCAGTTGAATGTTCTAGTTTATACGACGACTTATTTCAGACACTAATAGTAATACTTGTAGCACGCAAAAAATGTATTGGACCCTTTTCCCATTTATCAGAAAGCATCTGCTGTGTGGGTCTTCCATGGAACACCCATAGTTGAAGATCTTTGGTGAGTCAATACCATCTCATCTTACACTCAATTTGGAAAACACTTTCATAGACTTTATCAATTTTCCTGACATGGGAGCTCCCAAATTCTAAAAGCTTTTGTCTTGTGTCATCACGAAACATATTAGTTAAACTTCTTAATTAAAAATGCAGAGAATCCCCTCCATTCTCTCAACCATGGGGCTCACCAGCAGGCGAAGATAAGGTGATCTACATTTCAGACACTTGGCAAAAATGGTTTGCCCACATCTAATAAGATGGGTCGGGGCCTCTTTAGGTCTTTCCTCAACTGGCTGCTCCGCTACATTGAATTTTGTGTTGAAGAATTCATTATTTTCCTCCTTCCTAAGCTAAGACAAATGAAATCTGCCTCTTCCCATGGAAAGAAAACAAAACAGTTGGTCATAAAGTGCTGTCAATTCTTCTTTTGTAATTCCTTCTAATGTTTGCTTTCCTGCACACCTGCATGGTTCTCACACTAGCTGGTGAATGATTCATCATGCTTGGCCTGCCCTGGGTCTTTCTGCCTTCACTCTTTCTCCTTTCTAACAAGCTGTTCCCAGATTGAACACAAAATGCATCAATCTAGCATGTCCAATGTCCTCCTTGTCATTCCAGCTCTACCTAACCTGCTTTCTCATCTCTATTGTTTAGAATTTCTCAGCATCACTTGCGAGCCAGGACAGTTCAACTTCATACAAACACACCTTCTAACCGTTTTTCTGGAACATCTGCAGGAATGATTTTTCAGTCCTCATAGGTCTCCTTTAACCTCATCATTTCCATGGAGATTTGCCCAGGTACCCAAGGACACAAAGCTTGGAAGATACGATAGGCATCACTCTTCTATCCATGCTGTCTAATACCATACAAATGCTGCCTGTGGAGTAAATGCTTCAGTCTGATATTTATATACATTTCCATTTGTCTAATAGAGATGGTGATTAAAGAAGGTAGAGTAGGCAAAAGGAAATTCAGCCTTTTCCATGTCTATGCAGCACCAGTAGGGCTTTCACAATCAGTAGCAAGGAAGGTTTGCTCTATGACTTTTATGGAAATCTATTTATTTGCTAATTGCCAAAAAGCTGAGTAAAAGTTTTCTTGGTTCTTAAGCACTGAATTACAATAGAATTCCAATTGAGTTACACATAAAATCACACTTGAATGCCCAGCAGGGACTTTAAGGTCAATGAAATAATGAATGGCCAAAGAATTAATAGGAGTTGAGCCTCAGGAGCCTTCCTGTGTTGCAGCTGGGCAGAACAGTGCTCTGTTCATGAGCTGAAACCCGCCTCAGATGTGTCCACCCCAGCTGTGCTGGGCACAGCTGCCCCTCAGAAGGCCTGTAGAGCAGGGAGCTGTTTAAGTCACTCTGCCCTCTTCTCTGGTCAGACACATTTCCTTTAACATTATCAACTGTACAACAGCTACACTTGTGTTGTAGAGACATTTAAGACTGGAGACGGTTTTACCAAACAACATGATCTTCCTTCCTTTCCCCCACTCCACATCCTCTTATCCTTCTTGCTGCCAAGACATTCTTCACTCTTTTTTTTCTCCAACCCTCATCTTTCCATCTCCGCAAAGCCCTGCGTAATGTCCTTATCTCCTGCCATTGCCACTTCCACCTCCCATGGCATGGACACACTCAGCCTCCTAAGTCTTCCTGAATCTATCCCACTCTGAGGCCTCTGCTTTACATCCCTGCACAATGGCTCATTCCTACTGAGTCCCCCTTCATCCAGTCTCTGCCTCCCTGTCTGTTTGGATTCTCACAGACCCTGATGAAGTGGCTTCCTCAGACTGGCCCTCTGTCTGTCTGTCTCTGCCATCCTTTCCCAGGCTGGTCAGACCTTCCCCAGCATCCTATCTGATCACTACCTCAAAGTGGCACTACTGAATTCTATTCGGTTGTCACTTATTTGCCCTCATTGAAAACTAGATTCCCAGAGGACAACTACGTTACAGTGTAAGAGGGAAGGGGACATGCTCAAATCCAAGCTACTTGGCTTACTAAGTGTCATCTGAGACTAGAAATTTAATCATTTTGTGCTTCAGTATCCTCATCTGTAAAATGAGGTTAGTAATAACCCTTACTCCATCACATTGTTGTAATGATTTAATTCAACCCCCCTAGGCAATTCCTCAAAGCAGTTCCTGTGGGTAAGGACTGAGCTCAGTAGCCAGCCCACGTGACATTAGTCAGTGTTGTTATTATTTATCATGGATGCATTTCTTACATTTAGACCAAGTCAGTGCTTAAAGTTCTTTTACTGATAACTGAATAAGAAAATGCAAATGCAAATACAATGTTCTTCTATGTATTGCTGTCAAATATATTTCGGTCAAATATATTTTTAAGGGTAAGTTCGGGAACCATTTGTCAATTATATAGAATCCAAGAAGTATAAAGCAGATAGGATTCAACATATGTAGAAAAGTCCTGCATTTCTTTAAATTTTGCTTTCTTAAATTGTTAATGGAAAAAATGTGTAAATTCATTAGCATGTATCAAATTTGTTCAAATGTGGTTTTTAGCCTATTTTTTAAAAAAATATGTACAATACTGATGGCACAGGAGTGTTCAGTGCACTTAGCATGAACATGCAGCTGAGAAAGAGCAGCATTGAGAGTTGCATATTAACAATTTACACTTCCTGATGTTAATCATCATTTATTGGATTCCCTGGCTTTTTATGTAGAAGACTTTCAACTGGCTTTTAGCACTAATTTTAATCTCCTCCTTGCCCACACAATTGCAAAAACAATATCTTCTTTAATGAAATTAGAATGACCTCCATACACTGGCCATTAAAGTAAGTTTTAATTCTTAGAAAGACATACTTGGCACAATTGTGGATTAAATGAAGAAAGAAATCCATTTATTACCCAAAAGAAATACTTAAATCCTCTTTCTGCCCTGGTATCAAATGAAGACCACATAATACAGATTTAAAATGTGCAAAATAAAACAACAAAAACATAGATCATGAAGTCGTTCTTAATTAGGATTCCATTAAATAAGTTAACCTTTATGCCCAAAGGTAGAATGAGGCAAATTATGGATTGGATTTGAGTAAAGTCTAGCATGATTCTTGTTTTCATAGATATTTTTGCTGATTTGTGATGTTAGAGATCAAACCTAGGGTCTTCACATAAAGCTACATCTCTGGCCCATTTTTATCTTTTAAGACAGGGTCGAAGTTGCTAAATTGTACCGGACATGGTCAGATCTGATAATCTCCTACTTCAGCCTCCCAGAGTGTTGGGATTACAGGCCTGTACCACACACCCCACTTCATAAATGATTTGTTCGATACATATCACACTCACTCACTTGCATATCAACCATGACTGCTTTTACACTTAAACAACAGGGTTGAGTAGTTGTATCAAGTCCACATGGCCTAGGAGGATGAAAATATTTACTCCCTGGTGCATTACAGAGTGTTTGTCAACCCCATCCTAAGATATCCATGGTGACCTAACTTTATGTTTCTCCAACCATGACACTGCTAGTTGCGTAATATTTTTTAAAATGAGAAAAACATTCATCAAGGCTTTTACTGTGCTCTGAAGTTCAAACAAAAAAGGCTCCTTTAGAATATATTTGCTTCCTTTATTATTTTTGAATAATGGAATCTATTTTTTAATCAATAATTCATCACCCAAACCAGGATATTTCTGAGAGTGAGAGAGGACACTATTAAGGGTTATGCCAGGACTACTAGTGTAAACTGAGCCATATGGTCCCCCGTTCTGAGGCACCACCCAACTGTGAAGCTGACAAGCCAACATCAAAACCGGCTTATGAAACGCCATGCTTCATCTTGTGTTTGTTTTTGCACCCTCGGCTCCTCTCTCTTCCCCAACATCCCTATGAGTAGCAGGTCCACATCAAACACCACAGCACGCATTCAGAACTTACTTTTTAATTCTTTCGCCAAAAGAAGCTATTTCTTCCAAGATGTTTTGAACAGTTGACACAATATCCTGTACCATATAGATTCTCTCAATGAGCCCCCTTTTCTCAGATTCCTAGGAGACATAAAAGCAAGATGTATCTCAGTGACTTCATTCTATCATTTGATCATAGAAATGATACCATGGATTTTTACCATTAGAATGATTCTAAGAGATGAATTATATATTTACAACATAAATGTTTATTGCTGCAAAAAACAAAGATTTTTGGTCCACTCATCAGTGAAGAAGCTGGAGGTGATGAGCAGAAGCCACTGTGAACCTAGGGCTTCAGTTTCCTGAGGCGGCTGCCACTTCCTTCAGTGTACTCTGGGATCCCTTCAACCCTGGTCACTGGGTTTTTGCCGTGTCCTCACAAGCTCTTCTCAAACTCATCCTACCCTCTCTTTCACACTTCAGAAATGCTCCAGGAGGCAACAACACGGTATGTTAGCGACACACTTAATTTGCTTCCTAAGACTGTGGCATCGTAGTCATAGTTGCAACACGTTGCAGGCCTGAGGAACATTTCAATTGTCCTTTTGCACCCACCTCAGGAACCGAGCAAGCACCTGCAGAGGGCTGAGAAGCAACAGGACCATATAATGCTGGGGCTTCAGCCCACTCGTGTGATTTACTAGGTAGGAGAGTACCAGAGAGGTGGCTGTGATCTCTCCATGAAGTTGGAAGCAAATGCAAGTTCATCTGCCTCAGTCTCCAGCTCTATATGTAAAATGGAATTCGGTTGTCTAAAAAATATTACCCCTTACTTTGCATGTAGATTTTTTTCTTTTTTTGTAGCACTGGGATATGGACCCAGGTCCTTTCCATGGAGCTCAAACCTCAGCCCTTGTTTTTAATTTTGAGACAGGTTCCTGCTAATTTGCTAAGTTCCCCAGGCTGGGTTCAAAATTGCAATCCTCCTACCTCAGCCTACTGGAGTTCTGGAGTTCTCGGATTACAGGCTGTTACCATTACCGTGCCCTGCTTAAAAGATCTCAAACATGTTTTACCATGCTAGTTAACTATAATTATATAAAAATAGAAGAAAATATTCAAATGTCTGAGGGAAGAAAATTCATCAAAAAATGATAACTGTACACTCTCATATTCAGATGCTATGCTCACCTCCCGGTGAGCTTGGCTGTATCTCGAATCTAGTCAGTGTCCTCTTCACTCCTGCCTCTCTCAGCCACTACATCTGCTAGGTGAAACCTAAAACTCAAGCAACTCTACAAAGCTTCTTTCCTAGCTAGAATTTTACATGAATTAGAATTGTACCACACTGTTCAGCCAATGCTTCCAAATTTAGCAGGACATTCCCATAATATCCTCTCTGCTGCAAAAGACAAAAAAAAAAAAAAAAAATCATTTCATCTTGTATTCCCAGCTCCATCCAGCCGGGGCCATGGATAGAGAGGAGCATCTACCATCCTGTAGTGAACATTGGTAAATCCACCAAGATGGTAGACCTGTGAAAAAGCACAAAATTCCCCTCTGGATCTGCCCTTGTTTATGATGTTTTGATTCAAACAGATCAAGGAGAAAGGCTGCCTCCACTTCTCCACTAAAGGGTGCCAGGACAGTTTCAGAAGCTTCTTATCCACTGGTCCACATACTTATCCAACCACATACACTTTAACCATTTAATAGAGAAGGAAGACACAGGCTCATTGTTTCTTCTGACAACATCAGACTTGCAAAACATTTCTACTTTTTGCCCTAATTGAAAATTCTTATTTTTCATCACTGTAACTCTTCAAGCGGTTTGTGTTAAAAAATTAGATATGCTGCCAGAGCGACCTAATTCATGCTCAGCAGTCCACTGACGTCTATTAAAGGGCACAATGGTGAAAACCCATCTCTGTCTATCACATAAGTACCCATGTTTATAAAGGAACATTTGAAAGCACTGGGGAATGTGACCCCAAGGGCAGAAGTAGCTTCCTCTTTTCAGCAGCCTTGAGTTTAGGTCAAAACAATTTCATGGAAAATGACTTAAATTTCCATGTGGCTCAATTTCATAAAAACCTCCTACTTCAGTTGTCTGATTTTTTTTTCCTATAAAAAAACAAATACTTTACTGAGGTTCTGGCTGTGAAGAAAGAATGGTTAGTACACTAATAGATACTTCTCACAAAGCCTTGTTAATTTTTTATGAATTTTATGTTTCAATTAGAATAGTATCCAAAAATTAGGCTTGCAGAGACCCCACTATACCTATCTGGAATAAAATAATTTATCATCCAGAATTTAATAATTTTAAGAGTAAAATTCATCAAAATTATGTAATGTTTGAAATATGTATCAACTGAAAACTTGATTTTAATTGGTAAACTTTAAAAATATTCAGCTTATTTTCATAAATATATTTTCCAAAACATATTTTGTGTACATTAAAATGTATATAACCAATAATTACACATGATATATATTCAAATATCTTAGTTTTATTTCTAGTTCTATAATCTTGTGTCAGGATTGCTATACCAAACAAAAAAATTCTAATGTCATCTTTTCACTTCTAATATTTCATAAAATTGTTCTTAATCAGCTTCAGAGTTGCACTTAATGGCCATTAAAGTGGCATCTTAATTGACTCCACTGTAGATCATATTAAGAAATACTCTCCCTTCCAGCACTCAGGTGCTATGAAAACTCACACAAAGTGCAATACATAGAAAATATTCTTGATTCTCTATTTTAACTGCTAAAGTATGTATATTTTAGCTTCAATATTGTTAAGAGGATTATATTTTTATCCATTTATATGAACTTTCTCTTTCAAGCATTTTTCAAGACAAGATGTCTCTATGATTTGTTTTAACATTTAACAAAATTTATTCTGAAAAATCAATGGGTTCTCAATTTCCATTCCTAGGGAGAATATATTTTTATCTTATTAAAAAATCAAAATATTTTCCCCACAATTTGACATAGAGTATAACTTCAGAATTTAAAAAATAAATCACACATAGCATTTGACTTCATAGTTAATTTTGTGCCATTTATGCCCTTGATTTTGTAGATTAAAAAAAATCACCATCTCTTTAGCCTTTCATTCAGGAATAGCTTCTGAGATTTTACCTTGTATATCAGTCATTTAAAATTTCTAAATGATAAGGACCAAAATGCATTGAAAATTTTAAAAATTTCTTTTTTTTTTAACTAGAGTCTGAAGGCTTTGGGGCATGTCTAGACCAGTGATGGCGAAACTATGGCATGTGTTTTGCAGTCAGCTGTTATCATTGAAAGCTCTAAAGTGTTCGCCATCACTGGTGTAAGTTAACTGAGAGCTCCTCAAAGGTTCAAACATTCCCCAAATCAGATTTCTGATGGCCAATAAAACCAAAGTGCACACTGCTATGTTAAAACGTATATTTGATATAACTTTGACACAAAACCTTGTTATTACATCATACTGTGTATGTACTCTGTAAATGTATTAAAACTTTTAATTCAATTGGTAGGGCAACAGTAGTTGGGTGGGTATATTCCTGAGTGATGAGAATACATATTTTCCTCATACTCATAAATTCCTTCATTTTGGAAGAATACCTCATTAGCCATGGTGGTATACTCCTTCATAATTCACTCACATTGCCACCACAAAATTTACCCCCAAATCTAAAAGTTTAAGTTTGAAATAGCAATGTAGATGTCACAGGTTTTATTATTTGTAAAATTCACCTGCAAGGGGTTGGGGGTTTGGCCAAGTGGCAGAGTAGAAGCTTAGCATATGGAGGATCTACTTCACTTTCCAGCATCCTAAAAATATTTACTAATTGCAAATGTTTTATTTTATTTTGAGTGTTCTGGCTACTTTTCATTCTCTTGTCAGCACAATGGCATAATTCTGTATATGTTTAATATACAACTCCTTAATAATTTCTCAAACTTCCCCCAAACCATTTGGAAATGGCAGCTTAGAGCCTGTATCGTATTACAGGCTCAGGTCCCAGCTGTGAGACAACACACTGGTAGACACAGATGGCTGGTGGGACAGAGCTAGTTATTAGTTAGATACCCCTGGAAAGAAGAAAATAGAGATGGGCTATTCCTGATTGTGTATTAGTTAGTTATAACTTGGTGCTATTCTTTGACAACATTGGTCCATGACTTTATAAGGTATGATGAAAATATACAATGAATAAATTTAAAAATAAATTTATTACAGCAAGACACATTGACATTAATCCCCCTTTACATCCTCCTCCTCCTCACTTTGAATATATTTTATATCATTATCCATGCCACTTTCTGAAGCAGCTCTGGGAGTACTCTTTCAGAAGTGTCTTTAGTTGTGCTGCCACTGCTGTCTGTATCTTGAACCTATACAAAAACCTTTAACTTTTATGGTCATTTTGACTTTGAAGAAGAGCCAGAAGTCACGTGGTACCAGATCCAGTAAATTAGATAGATGAAGACACACTGTAATATTTTTAGGCTGTCTTTCCATTCGATGGCACTTAGCATTGAATTTTTTTATCACACTTCATAAAGATAAACACAAAAGTAGACTTCCAAAACTGCTTCAGATAGTGGCAAGAATGATAGCATGTCTGTTTGAAGTGAAGGGGAGTGTTCTGAGGGAGATTAATGCCAATGTATCTTTTACTGTATTAATATTTTCAAAACTTAAGCTAGATACCCTTTCTTAAAGGTTTCACCATCTCAACACTGCTGCACTAGTGACCGAGTTTTCAGCACTTGGAGCCTTGGGAGGAACACACTCAAACCAGAATCAAACCACAGGACTGATCCTAGGAAGTTTTCACCCTCTTTGAGTTCCAATTGCATTTCTAGAAATGGAGATCATAATCCTTGCCCTGATTGGGGTGTTAGAGGAATTAAACATTATCACATACATAATTTATCGGTATACTCTTGGTGCCTCTTAAATGTAAGTTCCTTCCCTTCAAAAATGCAATGTGATAAAGAAGAAACAATCTTTTGTCTCATTTAAAGAATACTGGGGTTAATTCAAGTTTCAAAAGAAATGATCTTCCAGGACAAGTCCACTCATGTTGCCCAGAGCTGTATGAAGATCAGCTGGCAGTTCTCTGTGCATCATG